AAAAAAAAAAAAAAAAAAATCACAAAAGGCCGAAGAACTCTTTCTGGAAACAAGTTATTAGGAGAAAAAATCCCTAAAAAAGTAAGGCAACTGTAATTTACTGACTCCAATGAGAAATTGTATAATATCACAGAAAGTATCTGCTTATACTTACCAAGGGTCCATACCTATGCTGCATACTGTATGGTACGTCTTCAAAAAAATAATTATGAAAAGACTCGTTAAATTTTGTTTGTTTTTGAAAGTTACATAGCTTGTAGGTGGGTAGGGAAGCTTAGGAAGCATGTGGAGGGCCTGTTATAATCCCTTACCATGTTTTCAGTGCTATAGCCATACTGCTGTGTCTCCTGGGCATATAAACTCATCATGGATCTTCCTTCTTGAGGCTCAGGTGGTTCACTATCATGTAACCACTGTGTCCCAAAGTGAAGTTCCTCTATGGAGGGAACAGGAGTGGCCTCTTGAACATGCGATGAGGAATACAAATCCACAGACTGCAAAGGATCTTGATACAGATCATATTCTTCATCAACAAGCATTTCTCTTTCTTCACTCATTTCCTGCAATCTAGAAGGCATAATTTCATGCATCTCCCAGGCCTCCTTACTGTTGTCTATCTCTTTTTGTTGGGACTGGAAAGGCATTCCCAAGTCTGGAAATGGCTCATCCACGAGTTCTTCTTTAAAATATGGTTCATCTCTAAATTCCTGTAAATAAAAGATGCAAAAAAAATTTAAACTATACCTGTCTCAAAGCTGCAATATACACATTAACTGGAAAATTAAAACACTGATATACTGCAATATCCTAACCTTATATGCCAATGATGTTTAACGTAAACAGCTTTCCATTAAAGACGAGAAGAAATGTAAGCTCACTTCCACACAATCCTCAACTCAGGAAATGGGCAAACAGTAAAATAAAGCAGAAATTTCTCTTGGCAAGGTAAATGATTATTCTAACACACTCATTATACATTAACCATCTGAAAATTCTCCATCAGCAATAGGAATTTTGTTAAACTGCTACGCTGAATATTTTAACTCATGCATCTTATATAAGAAGTACATAAATACAAGTGCATTCATACTATTACTTACGAAAGCAAAGACTTAAAAAGTCAGGATTTTCAAGATTAAGTAACTCCATGGAAATTATGACTATTCAAATGTTTTTAAAAACATTCTCTGTAAACTAAAGATACAGGAAGCTGTGCCCCAACTACTTTGAGTATAAGAACTTTTTTATAACATACTCATGTAATAGAAATATATTTTTTATCTGAGATTGAAAATATATAACAAAAAGAATGAATACAGTGTGTTTTTAAATGAATTTATATTTTACTAATGAGAATAGCAAATAACTATAACTGAAATTAAATAATCATACATGTGCAGAAGCTTTTTTGAGTTCTGGGGTAATGCATGATGAATATATGGATCTCCTCAGTCCTTGACCTAACCCTAGGGAACCTCTGGATCCTGGGCAGTATAAGGCCCGTCCTTCTAAGCAATCAATAACATTTCTTATTTTAAGTTCTGTTCATTAAGTATTGTTGTTGTTTTTAGTTGCCATCAAGCTGATTTTGATTCATGGTGACCCCATGTGTGCAGAGTAGAACTGCTCCATAGGGTTTTCAAGGTTGTGACCTTTCGGAAACAGATTGCCAGGCCTGTCTTCTGAGGTGCCTCTGGGTGGGTTTGAACTGCCACCCTTTCAGCTAGCAGCCACCCTTTCAGCTAGTAACTATTTGTGCCACCCAGTAAATTCTTGGAATGAATCTATTCCTCCTCATTGCTTCCTTAATGGCAGCTAAACATCACTTTTAAAATTAATACAGTATACCAAATACTGTAACCTGGTTATTGCAAACTAATTGTGGTTAGAGGGTATATATGAACATGTCATACAGTTATGAAATTTCAACAAAAATGTCTATAGTAAAAAAGTGTAATGGACATTATAGGAAAACATCAATTTGAGATACTGTCAACATGTTATACAAAAAATATTACCAGGACAACTGTTATCAAGTAAAGCAAAACCGTACTCTAACTGCAAAGAGCAACGTAAACATAATTCATGCTAAGAATAAAAAGGAAATGCTTCCAAATATGCTTTTTAAAACTAAAAGAGCGAAGTAGGATTTTACTAAATAACTCTTTTCTTTAGAGAGTATTCAATATTAAATTCTTTAGTATAGTTCCATTTTCTAGACATTTTAAATACAGGTCTAATTTCAAAAATTTGTGGTGCCCTAAAATTTTGAGGAATATGCTAGTGAAAGGTAATTAGGTATGTCTGTTCTCTGAAAATGCCTTACATCTGGTCTGTGTCATTTATGGAGGCACTCTGATACAGGAGGGGAAAGGTTGCGTTTAAAAAAAAATAAAAAGGGGGTAATTATTTAGTTTGTATCTAGTCAAGGCAGTGGAGACAAGCTTTTGTCTTCTTTATAGAAACTTTAGCTCAAAGCAAACCACCCAAATGGCAAATAAATTTATTAAATACCTTGGGTGCTTCAAGTATTAAAGATGAATTTATATCATGAATTGTTCCTGAAAGTTCAGGCTTGTCTTCATTATTGCTTGAATGTAAAATACAATGACTTTCTTCTTTTTCATCTTCCTGAAAAAAAAAAAAGACTTTTATAATTAAGAGAAGACTTTAGTTTCAAACACTCTTCAGATTAATTCCCATCTTGACATTAAGCACAAACACACAACAGAATTTACACAAATTGTTTCCTTGGAACAAACTTTTCTTTAGTAATTAAAAACAAAGTCATATTCAGGTCAGAGCTTCTCAAACTTCTTTTCTTTCAAGCATTCCTTAAAGAAAAATCACTTTACTAGGAACAAATTTTAATATTAAGATATGTCTAAACATATACAGGGGTGTTACTCTCAATATTTAACATTGGTACAGTGCAGTCACTCTCAATCAGAATAGGTACATCTACTGTGGTACAAACAAGCTCAAATGCAGTCCCAGGCAATAGCATAGCATTAAGTCCTTGTTATACGTCACAATCTATGTTAAACACTTACTCTCACTTCAGTCCTAACAAGAATCCTATGAGATCAAAATTTTATATGTGTATAAAAATAGTAAACACATACAGTACAATCTATGTTGTCAGGTACAGCGGGTTTAAGCACTTTAAATATATTAATTCATTCAATCCTCACAATAACTCTAAGAAGTAGGTACTCTTATTAAACCTCTTTTACAAATGAGGAAATGGAAGCACACAAATCTGTCCAACGTTACATAACTAGTCAGTTACACATGCAGAATTTGAACTCTTGCTGTCTGGCTCCAGAGCTTGTTTTCTCAGCCACCTTTCCTTATAGATCAGGAAGATGGGAGCTGGTGAGGTTAAACGACTAACTCAAGGATACGAAGCCAATGAATGGTAGAAAACAAGCAAAACCTCACAACCATCTTTCTGAAGAGCTCCAATGCCAGCTCTGCGCTACTAGTCCTCAACACACAGTGCAGACTTTAAAGTTAGTTTACTCAATTTTCAGATCTGAGTGTCTAGAAAAGAGAAGTAGTATGAAAGTACTGTTGTTGGGTGTCATAGAGTCGATTTCTACTCCTAGTGACCACACGTGACAGAGTTGAACCGCCCCATAGGGTTTCCTAGGCTGCAATCTTTATAGAAGCAGACAACCAGGTCTTCTTCCCGAGCCGCTGGGTAAGTTTGAACTGCCAACCTTTCGGTCACCAGCCAAGCTCTTAACTGTTGCAGCACCAGGGCTTCTTATGAAAATGTTACCATCTGTGTAATTCAGGACTTAATAAAAATAATTTTATTCTCCTGTTATATACTCATATTCTTTCCTCCCCAAACTGACATTAGTTCTTCTTATTCACACTCTCTACCTCCATTTCGGCTATGGACTCTGAGTAAATGTTCAGTAAACAGTTGTTGATTACATAAGTGGCCACCAACTGTACCAAGAAAGAGACAGAGAAAGGAAGAGCAAGAGGAGAAAGAGATATCAGAGAAGATCCATGCCTGCTTTCTAGCATGACTATTTACAGATAATATACAGTCTTGCTAAAAGAACCCAGATGTTGAAGAAAGAATTACTTAGTGGTAAAAAGTCTAGATAGTGACCTTTCTCTCAGTCCCTTTACTGGTATCCCACTCCCAAGGATACTGGCAGCCTTGGACTCACTGAGGGAAGCCTGGGCAAAGTTCCATCCCACAATTATTACATTCCAAAACACTTTCAGAGTTAATGCTCTGGGGTCTTGAGGTTTCTGTAGCCCTACCTCTGCCAGTAGTATAAGAATCCACACCCTGTTGGCACTGAGTCCAACTTTTTAAACTGCCTAAAACTTCTTGAAACTGCTTCAAGGTAACGGTCATGCTGTTTAAGTCCTATACAATACAAATAAGTTGAGGATTTCTCCATCAGTGAAAATAATCATCATAAAAAATACAGACAAAGTTCCCTGTAATAACCAAAATAACAACAAGATGAGGTACTCATAAAAATAATAATAGTTTTCTCCTCATTAGTTCATTCAAAAATTAAACTCAGCATCTCATTGTATCTGTTTTGGATATAATAATATCAAAACACCAAATATGCAATAACAACTCAACTCTTAAATCAAGAAGTTGTCTTAGTAATTGTACATGTAGAAACTGTTGAATTAGTGTATGTTTTGCTGTGTATATTCTCCATAACAACAAAATAAATAAAATTTTAAAAAAAGAACTTCCCTTGGTTTTAAACATTTAAAATATCTGATAGGATATATACAGTACACAGACATTTTTATGTGTAATACATGAACACAAATATATATATGGAATCCATAGGTGGTGCAAACAGTTAACAGCTCGGCTGCTAATCGAAAGACTGGAGGTTCAAGTTCACCCACAGGCACCAGGAAAGAAAAGATCGTTAAAAACCCTAAAAGCCATTGAAAACCCTGTAAATCCCAATCCTAGGTATATACCCAAAACAAGTGAAAGCAGGAATGCAAATAGAAACCTGTACACCAATGCTCCTTCAGCACTTTCCACAATAGCCAAAAGGTAGAAACAACTGAAATATCCATCAACAGATTAATGGATAAGCAAAAGGTGGTATATACAGACAATGGAATACTACTTAGCTATAAAAACAAATGAAGCCCTGATGTATGCCACAACATGGATGACCTTGAAAACATTATGCTGCGTGAAATAAGTCATTCGGAAAAGGACAAACACTGTGTAACCAATCTCACGAAACAATTTGCACGTGAACTATTGAATGGGAAACTAATTTGCTCTGTAAAACTTCACCTAAAGCACAATTTAAAAAAAAACGACAAACACTGTGTGATCTCACTTATATGAAATAAGCAAATATACAGAAACCAAAGGTTATTAATGGTTACTGAAGGGAAGGAGGAGGGACTTTTTGCTTAGAGGGCACTGAGTTTATGTTAATGATGGTAGAAAAATTCAGGAAAGTATAATGATAATAACTGCACAACATGAAGAACATAATACCAATTATATGGGCAGAAAGTGTTGAATTGACAAATGCTTTGTCGTGTAATTTTCACAATAAAAATTAAAACCAAACAAAAACCCTATGGAGTACAATTCAACTGTGACACATATGGGGTCACGATGAGATGGAAATGACTTGACAGTAACTGGTTTATATATAAATATACATATAAAAAAACAAATGAACATTTTTAGTATGCTAATGTATTTCATGGAATAAAAGAATTTCACAGCTAGGAAAGATCTTAGGAGTTCTCTACTCTTATTTTTCATCTTCTCAGATCTGAAAAAAATAGGCTTACAAAACTAAAGTTGCATACCTAATGATCAAATTGATAGTATGTTTCTCAAAGTGCAAAATACTGCATCAGAATCACACAGGTGACTGGAAGAGGCATATTCCTGAATACCAAATCAGAACTGCTAAATCAGAATCTGTGAGGAAGAGACCTGAGAAAGAGCATTTTAACCATCTCCCAAGGAATTCTTATATACAGTATATATCTTTAACTTTGAAATTCTCTGGGCTAACTCACAGCAAAACTAAGCACAGAAGCCAGGTTTCCTGAAATCCAGGCAGCACTCTATTACACCATGCTCTCTGTTTCAGACATGCTGCATGCAACCTGAACAAGTTATACCAGATTAAAACAGAAATATATAGCATCGTGGCTAGGAGCACACGGTCGGAAGCCACCCTGCTGGATTCATATTACAACTCTGCCCCATACTAGTTATATGACCTTGGATAAGTTGCTCAACTTTCTGCACCTTGATTGACTCATCTATAATGAGAATAATAAAAGGTGTACTTTTTTGTGAGGATTAAAATAGTTAATACTGGTAAAATGTTTAAAAAATACTGACTGGCATATAGCAAAACCTTAATAATATTTTAATATTATCTGAAAGCTATTATCATCAAGTATTTTTTTATATTGGGTAACCTCAACAGCCCCATAACTGTAATATGGCCTTCAGCCATAACAATAATCTATCCCAGTACAGAAGATTAAGCAAAAGGACAAATTCATATAGGTGATCTAGATGCTAAAAATTACAAGGCATTTTAATGGTAAGAAAAGCATATTAAAATCTCATATGGTTAAAATGATACGGTTAAATGATTTCACCTTATTATGCCATCTCATCATCATCTCCAAATGAAAAGTTAAAATGTATAAATACATTTATTTTAATTTACATTATAAGAAATATGACAAGAACATAAAGTCTGTACTAAAAGCATGAAGATGAAAATAGTAAAACCGGTGGTTTAGTAGTAGTAATGTTAGCAAATGGCATTTATGTTAATACTGTGTTAAGTACTAAATGAATATAATCTTCTTTAATCCTCAAAATCCTATGAAATAGATAGTATTTTTTTCTGATTTTCTAAATCAGGGAGATTCAAACAAAAACTTGACCTGAAGGTCACACAGATAGTAAGCAGCAGAACAAGGATCCAAGGCCAGGTATATCTGTCTCCAAAATTTGTGTTCTTAACTATTACATTGTTAGGACTTCCTTTATTAATAAAATTCGACACTTACCACCAAAGGCTTACAGATGCCAAGGCGGACAGTCCCTGGTGGCACAGCTTTCAATACTTCCACAGCTTCAGCAAGCGTGGCGTTGTCCAAACAGTATTCATTGACTGAGACCAAGCGATCTCCAGGTAAAAGCCCTCCATCTCTTTCTGCCACACCATCCGCCACCAGAGAACGAATCACGATAACTGATTTTGTAGAATCTAAGGGATCCTAAGAATCAAGCAAAGAAGAAAGATGACTTATTTCTCTGAAAATAAATATGCAATCTTAAAACAGTTTATGTTTACTGATGAATCTCATTTGACTATTGACTTCATGTGTCCAGCATTCTGGACAAGGAGGTCAAAATAAACTGAAATATCACTCTGTACTGCTTGTATCAAGGTGAAGATATAAATAACCTTAAGAATTTCTATTGCATGTCTAAGTGTTCAATACATATAATTTCTTTTACAAACCTTTGGTGACTGAAATTTTATTTGACCACAAGAGGTTTAGGGAAAATTGGGTTAGATCTTCTAATATCCTCAAGCATAGTCATGCCATGGAGCAAAGACAAAGCCCATCTATCACCCCTCTTGGGCAATAAGTAGGCTCCAAGAGTAGCATACAATGGGAAATCCTACTCCATTCATTTGCATTCCACTGGTACACGATCCCCTTGCTAAACCACTGAAGTTTAAAAAAGACATGGAAACCATGAAAAATTCCACCAATACGTTTAATATGACTTTTATTTTAAACGATATGTTTAAAAAAATAACAATCTAAAATTATGACATGATACAGATGCCATGGTGTAAGTATGAAGTATGAATCTGGGAAAGTTGGAAGTTGTCAAAAATGAAAAGAAATGTATGAGGATAGATATCCTAGGCATTAATCAACTGAAATGGACTGGTATTGGCCATTTTGAATCAGACAATCATATGGTCTACTATGCCAGGAATGACAAAATGAAAAGGAATGGTGTCACATTCACTGTTAAAAAGAACATTTCAAGATCTATCCTGAAATATAATGCTGTCGGTGATACGATAACATCCTTATGCCTACAAGGAAGATCAGTTAATACAGCTATTATTCAAATTCATGCACCAAACACTAACGTCAAAGATGAAGAAATTGAAAGTTTTTACCAACTTCTGCAGTCTGAAATCGATCAAACATGCAATCAAGAGGCATTATAATTACTGGTGATTGGAATCCAAAAGTTGGAAACGAAGAAGGTTCAAGAGTTGGAAAATATGGTCTTGGTAATAAAAATGACCCCAGAGATCTCATGATAGAATTCTGCAAAACCAACGACCTATTCATTGGAAATACCTTTTCAACAACTTAAACAGCAACTATACACGGTGTCATGGTGAAGAGGAGGGTCAGCAAAAAAGAGGAAGACCCTCAATGAGATAGACTGACACAGTGGCTGTAACAATGGGCTCGAACATAGCAATGATTGTGAGGATGGTGCAGGACTGGGCAGTATTTTGTTCTGTTGTACACAGGATTGCTATGATTTGGAACTGACTCAATGGCACCTAAAGCAACATAGAAACCACTAGATAAGAAGCATTCTAACACACAGAAATATGTGCAAATCTGTTTCATCCCTTTGGAGGTCCCCATATTTCTTTTCATTAACCTCTGAAGATAACACTGACATTCAATAAATATAACTGGTTAATAAAAATTCCCAAGTTAAGGATCCAAGTTATGCCAGGTTTTTTCTTACTTAAAAAATATTCCCACTATTAATTTTTATTTTATTCAACAAACACTGATATATAGCACTTATATATGTCATGCTCTGTTCTAAATGCTTGAGAATCATTAATTAACTTTACAACAACTCTATGATGTAGGTAAATTTATTATCCATATTTTACTGAAAAAGAAACTGAGAATCAGATACTTCAGGCAACTTGGCAAGATCACTTATTTGGTAAGTAACAAATCTGAGATTCAAACCCATACAGTCTGGCTTCTAAGTCTGTATTCTTGACCACCATGCTTTGCTGCTTGTTCCTTACTTCTGACTAAAATAATAGTGAGAAGAAACTGGAGACAAAGAACTGTGAATGAAAGATAAAAACATATTCACATTGAAATTTTATGGTTGAGAAGCATCTCCTTAATTTGCCCTAAACCTCAAACACAGGAAGGGAGAGAAAAAATAATTAAATCTTAATCACAACATTTACTTTGGTTTTTCTATTTTGGTCCAATTATCTCATTATGCACATACTGTTCCATAAAGGCAAGAGTTGGTAACATGAGATCCCACTACTGTTAGCTTCTAATAAACCCTTTGTGAGAAAGTAGAGAGAAACTGCCAGGTTTTGTGTTAGAATTACAAGACTCTGCAATTAGCAAAGTAAAATTTTGCCAAGTTCCAGCTGATGTCTGTTTGAAGTAGCTGATGGTTCTTCTGATGTTTTTTGATCCAGTTTTCTATACCTCTGTGTTTCAGACATGAGCATTCATTTTTAAAGTACCGCGTGAAATTTTAACCAAACAGACTATACAGTTGGCCTTCTGCAGCTGTGGGTGTCACCAACTATGGATAAAAATATTTGGAACAGGAAAAAAAACAAAACTTTTTTTCTTGTCATTATTCCCTAAACAGTATAACAACTATTTACACAGCGTTTACATTGTATTAGGTACTATAAGTAATCCAGAGATGATTGGAGGGAGACTCATTAACAACCTGCAATATGCAGATAACACAAACTTCCTTGCTGAAAGTGAAGAGGACTTGAAGCACTTACTGATGAAGATCAAAGACCACAGCTTTCAGTATGGATTACACCTCAACATAAAGAAAACAAAACCCTCACAACTGGACCAATAAGCAACATCATGATAAACAGAGAAAAGACTGAAGTTGTCAAGGACTTCATTTTACTTGGATCCACAATCAATGCCCATGGAAACAGCAGTCAAGAAAACAGACGACACATTGCATCGGGCAAACCTGCTGCGAAAGATCTCTTTAAAGTGTTCAAAAGCAAAGATGTCACTTTAAGGACTAAGGTGCACCTGAACCAAGCCACGGTGTTTTCAATGGCGTTTTCAATGGCCTCGGTGTTTTCAATGGCCTCGTATGCATGCGAAAGCTGGACAATGAATAAGAAAGACTGAAGAATTGATGTCTTTGAATTATGGTGTTAGCAAAGAATACTGACTATACCATGGACTGCCAAAAGAACAATCAAATCTGTCTTGGAAGATGGACAGCTAGATTGCTCCTTAGAAGCAAGGATAGTTAGACTTCTTTCTCACATACTTTGGACATGTCATCAGGAGGGATCAATCCCTGGAGAAGGACACCATGCTTCATAAAGCAGAGGGTCATCGAAAAAAAAGCAAGACCCTCAACAAGATGGATTGACACAGTGGCTGCAACAATGGGCTCAAACATAGCAAAGACTGTGAAGATGGTGCAGGATCGGGCAGTGTATCGTTCTGTTACACACAGGGTTGCTATGCATTGGAACCAACTCGATGGCATCTAACAACAACAACAGAGATGATTTAAAGTACACGGGAGGATGTGCATAGGTTATATGCAAATACCATGCCATTTTATATAAAGGACTTGAGCATATGCTGATTTTTTTATACATGGGGGTCCTGGAACCAGTCCCCCTTGGATACACGACTGTATTTAAATCAAGATCTACACCACCAATTCCTTGGAAAAAAATGCCTTCAAACATAACTTATCTTTCTTTAACTAGCTTTCCTTTCCACCCCCAAGTCAAAACACTTTTGCAAATTTCTTACACGCTGTGACGTATAACATCGCATATTTATGATAGGATTAAAAGTAAAATACAGTCATGAAAAGTCATTAATAAAGTACATAGTGTTAAACTATAATTACACCAGCATTTTCAAGTAGAGGGAGCTATTGCATAGACAGAGGACAGAAGAGAACCAAAAAAAACGTATAGTGGTATATCAGCAGGCAATCAGTGCAGTAATATAAAAGAGCTGTCTATTTTGTCACCGGCAACCATGAATCATAACACACTTTTCATTCTGAAATATGAAACCATTACATTTTAAGTTTGACACACTAATAAATAAGCTGTACAATTATGTCTTTCATTTAGGATGTCAGTTTTTGATGAAAGGCTTTTTTATTGGGGAGGAAGGGAAACTACATAATAGCTTATTTTCCTCATGAAATGCACAGAGAGTAGGTAGCATTACTTCATATTAATAATTACTGAACTTTCTCAGAGAAAAACTCCAACAGTAAAACATACCAAAAGCAAATAAATGACTTCACTAGGCTGGTGTGAACAATCTCTACAGTTTCATATAAAATTGATTCCAAAAGTGCTAGTTTTAACCCAAATAGGTAAATAGGCTTTCAAAATTAAACCAGTTGAAATGATAATTAGAAACATTTTAAAGGAAAATTAACCAGATAAATAATGAAAATAAGAGTTCTATCCTTGAAAGATTAACGATTTCCCTTACTGTAAAAAGTCACGGTTGCACGTATTTACACAAAGTGCAGTCTTCTTTAGATCCCAAACTAGTAGCAGCTATGCTTGCATACTAAATTTATTCAGGTTCAGAGCTGAATAAAACGAATCTACCACTCCTTTTCCTGGAGGAGGGAACCCAAAGGCAGTTTGTCACTTAAAAAAAAAAAAAAGACAAAACCACACATTTCTGAAGATGCCCCATTATTTATAATAACTAGTTCATTTTCTATGATGACTTTTCTGACTGTGTGACTTCCCACATAGCTGAATGAAGCTGCTGTAATGAATAACGGTCATTCCCTTTCATAGCCATCACATGTAGCAGCCACACAACGGAAACACAGCAGCTGCTACTGCCTACTGGGGCAACTGCTATTCTTGAGACTTTTCTGCCTAAAAAATGCTTGAGAGTCAGCCAGATTCAGTCTGCTTCTCCTCAGAAAGGTCTGTTTTCTGAAAATATAGCCCACAATATCCTTCCCCTGTTATAGCAAACAAAATGTTATAAAGATATTTCTCCTGACCTCTATCTAACCTCTAGACCTTAGGTGGATTTTTAATGTCTCCATCGGCTTTTACCATAATTTTAAATCTTTAATTCTTCTTCTTTTGGTAAATAACACTGCAAGGAACATTGTGTTCAAGAATTGAGATGTTGCTTAAGACTAAATAGCCAACAGAGGGCACTAAAGACCAGTCACAGAA